CTGCGGGAAGAGGAGAGGGTCGTATTTTCCGAGAATTTTCCTGGGCAGCACGACGTGCCCTGATCGCGGAGCGTAAATAGTGCTAGCAAAGGAATAACTGCTAATCAGATTCAATGTTCTGAACTAGTTCCTTAACGATTCAATAGACAAAAAGATAATGAGAAACAGCAAGAAAGGAATGGAAATTGAAAGCAATAAATCGATTATCATCTTAATTTCTCATATCGAACGAGTATGTAACTCATAATGAAGTTCCCGGAGGGATCAGCGAGGAATCAGGAATTCCAAGAAAATAGTGAGCAGTGCACTTGGTTGAGGGTTTTGAGGTTGCTGGTAGCATGGACCCCATGAAAACAGAGGCCGAAACAATTGCTGATAGCTCGAGCAAGCAAACTGTGCCGAAGGAAGACCGTTTCTCTTCCAGTAGACCCAATTCTCCTCGACCTATAGAAGAGCTCAGTGTGAAACCCGAAAGTCTAAGGGCTCAAATTGTTAAAGGCAGCTGGCACGATAAATCCCCAAGACGAGTAGGATTAGTAAGCCTGGTCGCACGGAATTCCGCGACCCTGAGCAAGCGCTGCGTAGCGCTTTTCCAAAGGAGGTACCCTTGTAAGGACCGACCCAAACGCCCACCGCGCCCGCCTGCCCACAAAGGGACGACAGTACCTGATACTGCTTCGTTTGCTAAGTAAAATATGAAGCGAAGGGATTGGTATCGGCCGCGGTGCTGCATGGATTTATGGGTACATACGTGCAGCCGTACTTACCGTAGCGGTTATTATCAAGATGCCTACGGAAAACTCGTCCGAATTGCATTTATGACTCATTAAGAACGGAATAGCACCCTGCTAGCATTTTAGGCCGAGTACGAAATTATCGTGCCAACTGCCTTTAAGCAAAATGCATTTATAACGATAAAGTGAAATAAGGTAGAAAAGAAGGACAAGCGCCAAAGTGTTCCAAATAGCATGAAGTGATTGTGTGACCAGGCTGCATGCGAGAGGTGACGCCCACTGATTGACTGAGAGGCTCTTGAACACGCGGATTCGGACACGGCGCTAGTGCCAGCAGTGACGAGAACGCACGATGAGATTGAAGGAGGCTTGGGAACTTGAACACTACATAGACTGGTGGATAGCCACTGGGATTAAGGAACAAGGGAGATCCTTCTCAATAGAGTTACTTTTTCTTGAGTTACTTTTCCTTAAACTTGCTTTTCCTAAGTAACGCGGGAAAAATGAGGTTTTCTTGCATATTTTGATTCGACATTCATATCCGGAATTCTCTTTCCAGCTCATTGGACGACAGACATGGCCCTCCCTTTCCTCCTCCCCTCCCTTGCCGATGGCTTCTGGCAAAAAAGTAGCTGGCCTTTCCGAATAAAAGGTCCCTGACAGTGGTGAGGGAGATGCAGGCATTTTAGGCTAGGACCTGGCAGGCAGGGTGAGCGCCAGTGGAAAAAAGGAGTGTAGGGCAAACAGCGGAAGGAAGTCCTGACGGGGGGGGGCGGGTATTTTTCGCCGAAAATCACCCCCCAGACGCCAGAAAGTGCCCCCGCAGCCCGCTTCGTGTTCCAAAGAGTTCGAAAAAATTACGTTTGAGACTGAAACCCATTTATTTCTCTACTCTTGAAGCTACATATTTTTTTCAATAGTCACCCCTCACTACTTTATGGACAAGGCGATAAGGCTGGCGCACACACACACACACACATACATCACACACACATGGCACACACACAACACAACACAGCACACACACAAAAGGACTGTCCGTTGGTAGAAAGCTTCCCGCGGGCTCATATGGAGTCAATTTTGAAAAAACAGAACCACCTTGTTTAAGGCTTTTGTCAGGGTCAGGGCAGGACGAAATGTGGTGCCGTTTTGTGACACAAACTTGCTTTATGACAAGACGAAAAGGTTTACGTGGAACGTTATTCCAATCCGACTGCTGGTTTTGCTTAGCGGGGGGGGGGGGAGGGGGGAGAACTTGTACTCCATGTCGTTTGCTTAGCTTCCGTTAAATTGCTACTTTCACTTCGGCGAGACCTGCGCTCTTTGTTAGTGCGGGCCAAGCTCATGCTGTTGCACAGCTTCACAGGAGTTCACACGGCTCCGCAGGTGGCATCGGAAGCGATCGGAGGAATCCGACAGTAGCACCCACCAAACCGAATTGCGCTCTTATCCACACTCCAACCTGAACTCACCTGATGGATCTCGCATTTTCCAGTGCATATCCGCTCCACCTCCACCTCACTCCGCAGTCTCTCTAGCAACATTTTCAGCCACCTGAAAAATACTGTTATAAGGGAGAGAAGAGAAAAAGGGAGCGAAGGAGAAGATTCTACCTGCAAATATACCGGTATATGCGATAGAAAAAAAAACAAAGAAAAATAAGAGTGGCGCTCACCTGATCGTTCGAATCCGGTGCGTAAGCATGTGTAGAGAGGAGTGAGCTCCGATGGGCCATCACGATAGTTGGCGGCATGGCAACTCAGAAGTTACATTTTCGCAGACGACAGAAACGCCGCTTTGTGCATGGCTGTCTGAAATCGTGGGCATTTACAGAGGCCTGAAATCGTCCAAAAATACCTGCAATGAATGCTCGCTTCTAGCGCCGAACACTGTACCATGTTTTTCAGCGGCACGGCAGCGCATTCGTGTCAAGTACTCTTTTTCTCAATTGCTAGCCAGTTAGTCGTTTCTAGCGCCCTCATTCTGAGCCTGTTGCTATCAGCCAAACGGTCGTTAGCGCTAGCCAAGAGGACAGAGCGTGGAGGTTTGTAGAGGACAACAGGACCTCTGACAACAACTGAGCAACTGGCGGAACCGAAGAGTGACTGAATCGGTCAAGGAGGAGTTGGGAGCAGGGTACACGATGCTTGAGATGCCCTCACTGAATCGGAAAATCGGGGGAAAAGGTAGTACACGACTTTGCTGACTACTTGACAGGGACCCATATTAGTTCGTTTTTGAAGGAGTAAATGGCGCTGCTGGGCTTGGGAGGGGCATTGACACTTTCGCTAATTCCTTTTGCTAGTTCCCTGTCAAATTACACGTCACATATAGGTGAGACCTGTAGACTCTTGTCAAGTGTAAAGGCAGCTCATGCTATTGCATAGCTTCACAGGGTTTTACAGGTTTACTCAATAGGCATCAGCTGTGATCGGTGGGAACCAGCGAAATGCCCCTCCAAACCGAACTGCGTCGTGTGAAGTCACTCCATACCCCTTCATCGTTTACGAGGTTTCTTTTCTGGGAAGTTTCAGGCAACTGCTAATAGAGGAGTTAAGCAGGAGGGTGAGGCGAGACTTTTGGGTGAAGGGGGCATACCTGAAACGGTGGTGGGGCGATTGCATCGGAGGACCATTCTTCTGGTGGCGTTTCCTGGCTGGAAGTGTGCCAATGGCATCCCATACCTTGACCTAGTCCAGGGCAAAATGTTCGAGTGTGGGTGGACGTCGAAATGGATCCCAAAGATTTAGGAGGTGATCCGGAGCGAAGTTCCAGTAAGGTGGAGCATTTTGGTGCAAGGCATCCAAAGCGTGTGAAACCACGGCAGGAGCTCCAGGAGGCTCTTTCCTAGTCTAGAGGAAGAGGTTCGGGGTGTGTAAACTTATTTGTTTTTAATGTACTTAAAGACCTTTGGAACCATAAATTTCTCAGACGCGTTTGGGGCTAATACGCCTAGGAGGACTGAATCATCGCCCCTGATTAAGTGCTGCTTGGAGCCTTCTCTGAGAAAGGTACTCCTATAGCGCCCTATCACACTGCACATACTGACCCACCCGCGCCCGCGCGCCCACAAATGTCCGACCTATCCTGATGCTCGTATCGCTTCATTTGCGAAGTACAGCATGAAGCGAAGGGATTGATATGAAGCGGCTGCGGTGCTGCATGGATATATGATACATACATGCAGCCGTATCTACCGTGGCGGTTATTGGCACGATGCCAACGGGGAAACTCGTCCGAAAATGCTTCCTGAGTCGTGTAGAACAAAGGCAATTTCAGGCCAAATTATGCTAGGCAAATTACTACTGGATTATTTTGCGCGAAAAGTAATTTTTCAAGCCATCGTACAAAGATGCCCCTACTTTATTGGAAAATCGCCATTCTCCTCAATTCCCGAGTTTGAAAAGATTGTTAGCGAACGTACTTGACCCTCGGAATTCCGAAAATCGATGTGTGCACCGCCTCCGACAAGTGCGACGAGCACTGCTCGATTTGATGGTACTCCGGCCGCCAACGTTAATGGAGTCTCACCCTGAAAAATCTTACCCTGATTTCTGGATTGACCACTGTAACCCTGAAGAATTACCTGCGCATCGTGGAAATTCGCGTCCAATCCCTGAGAGCAGAGTTTCTCGACCTTTTCCGCGTTTTTTGTCTGCACATAATCCATGAACTTCTTCAGCGTTGCCTGAAAAGAGTTGCGAGTTCCAAAAACCCTGACTGCTAGGTGGGTGTTCATGTAACTCATGTCCCTCGCCCTTCCTAAGATTCCAACTAGCTCTATATTACGAAGAACGTCGCCAATCGTGCGATGATGGTTTTTCGCATCGGGGCGAAATCGTCAATCGGATACCTGTTCATGCCTCCCCATGTGAATCGACTACACACTGTGAGGTTGGCGTCCTTCATTTCACGAAATGTATTCTAATCAAAGCGAAAATCGTCTTAGGAACGGCTGTACGGAGGTGGCACCATGAGCGTGTTCCCAATTCATTCTCAACCTCGTTTAAATTCAAAAACGAGCAGTTAAAGGGACGGACTGCGATGGCCCACGAAAATGTAAAAGATTGTTTGGGAAGGGTAGTGTGGTCCGTAATGAGTAACCTTGGGCCAGTTTCGTGCGGGAAAGTTGTAAGGTAACAGAGTTAAGCCACAACAGTGTTCCAGTGGTTTCCCCTTTTCCAGTGGCTTCGCCCCTCATGTCCGCCTTCCAGTCAAAACCGATGCTACCGGATAAGTAGCAAGAAATGGAGCCTCCACTGCCTCTTGTGGAGTCGTAGGATCCATAATAAGGAATCAGCCGACTAGATTCGCCCCAACACACGGGCTTTTGACCTCTGGCTCGTTTAACTGCTTGAGACTGGGGCGGGGGAGAGGGCTACTATTTAAAAGGCGTTTTCGACGTTCTTTCTGGCATTTCCTCGTCTTACTTCAAACTGGAGCAGTTAAGGAACGGACAGCGATGACCCACGAAAATGGAAAAGATTATTCGGGAAGGGTAATGTGGTCCGTAGTGGACAACCTCGGGCCACTTTCACGTTTGAAAGTTGTAAGGTAGAAGAGTTAAGTCGCAAAGTTGTCCCAGTGACACCGCCCCTTTTCCCAGTGACTCCGCCTCAGACTCCGCTTCTACTGTCCGCCTTCCAGTCAAAGACGATGTAGCAAGAAATGGAGGGTGCACTGCCTCTCGTGGGGTTGTAGGGTTCATAACAGGGAATCAGCCGAATCAACTCACCCCAGAACGCGGTCTTGGACTTTGACCCGTTTGTCTGTTTGAGGCTGGGGGTCCTATTAAAGGCGCTTCCGACCTTCTTTCTGGCTTTTCCTTTTCGCACACGAATCACGTGACACATTCCCACCCATATCTCAACACCAATACCTACCCTCCTCAACGCAGACCGTGCCTTTGACCTAAGACTTCTCAGTCAGATCAGTTTAGATGAGAAGGGGAACCCATCTTATTCCACGAGGTGAGCCTGGGAGGTACTACATCAACTTCGGCAGGACTTCAACCCTGAAACCATGGCAGGAATATGAGAAAGAATGAAATGGCTTACCTTACTATGTATGCTCTTCAAATGCTTTTCGTCAAGATTCAGCATCTTGTAGACCCGTTTTTTGTATTTGAGCTGAAAATAGACAAATATAATGGGCAGCCTTGATTGGTGGTGAAACTTGACCTAAATGTTCGGCGCCAGGGTCTCCCACCAGACAGCTGCTATTCTTCCCTCTTCGGAAACGAACGGCGGAAAAAAGCAATTTGGTCCCGCTTAAGGCTAGATCGAGTTTCGTAGGAGCTGCGTCGATACCGTGCATCCCAAGGCGTTTCGGGCAGCTTGTTTGCCCGCTCAGAAAAGACATACAAACAGCACATTAGGCGCGCGCGAGGGGGAGAAGGAACGCCAGCGCGACCACGACTGACAGTTCGTTATGCGAGGAGGAGACGAATAGCAAAGCTGACAGGTGAAAGGGAAGAACAATATGGGGCGGTGAACGATAGGGTTAGAAAGGTAGGAGAGTGAAATTCGGCGTAGTTCGGCTTGGCGTGGGCAGTAAATGGTACTCAGCGGAGCTTGTACAGCTCAGCTTATCAGAACTTCTAAGTTACTGTCCTTGAAGAGGCTCACTAATACAATCTACGTGTTGACAGGTCTCACCATAGAGACACCTAACAGTCAACCTGAACTAGAGAAAGGGCCTAATGAAAGTGCAAAGTGTCCCCTCTTAGCCGAACAGCACCTCAACGTTCAAACTCACCTCTAAGTAAGGAACGCAATCATGGAATGGATAGTCGCGTACGACGCGATCCTCCAGCAAGAATTTGCCGGCTCGACCATCGCACGGTGGCAGGAAAAGGCCATAGTTGAAGGCCTGCGGAAGTGCCTGCAAATGTTGAGCATAGAAACGGCCCTGATTCCTGACTTCAAATTCAATGCCGGCCGATTAAACCATGTAAGGGATATTTTAATGAATTAAAATATTTGCTGCTCTTATTTTATATCAATGAACCGCTCATGGGCCTTGCGGCTCAGTCTGCGGTTGAAAACATAGTAAATGGCGTTCAGAAAACAGAAGTATAGCGCTGGATGGTAAAAGACACATGGTACGGTGTCAAAGCGTAGGCAGTATTCCCGTCTAACATGCGCAGGAATGGAGATACAGGACCGTGAAACACGCTAATTCCTCCATGCTCCGCCCAATACCTTTTTGCGGCGCAGACTCCCGTTCATGCTAACATCCGTCGTGTGCGCGCGTGTCGCATGCGGCACTCTTGGCACTTTGCCAAGTCCTGCACTTGCGCTTTGGAATACAAGTAAAAGGCTATTCCTTGATGCGGATAAATTCAATGTGCTGTGCAAAATAAGAAGCGAAAGAATGATGACACGAGCGCCCGAAAGTTCCAAGTGCAACCAGCGCTGCTTCTGGCAATATCCCTAGGAGGGCGCGCATTTCTGTTCGGATTTCAAGCATGAAGGCTTTACACCTCAAATGTTACCCCGACATCAGCGAAATGCGTTTTACTTGCATTCCAATCGCAATTACGGGACTTGGCAAGGTGCCAAGAGCGTTGCGCGCGACACGCGCCGCACGGACGGCTGTTAGCATAAACGGGAGTCTGGCGCCGCAAGGGCATTGAACGGAGCATGGAGGAATTAGCGTGTATCACCGTCCTTGTATCTCCCATCCTGGCGCATGTTAGAAAACTGGAATACTGCTACGCTTTCGACAGCTGGAGGGCTGATAGTCACGCACAACCAAACTGATGTGGGGTTGTACCATGTGTCTTTAATACTGAATAGTGGAAATCAGCCGCCCAGATCCTACTTCTTACTTTTCAGCGCAATCACTGAACAATACAAGATGATCAAGATCAATCACAAGTTGCGACAAGCGAAGATACACTGAACAGCGAGGGAAGAGAGGCTAGAAGAGGACGCGCGAGGAAGCACAACGGCATTTTCACGAAACGTGAGCGCGGGGTTCAGCATCGTGTTGTATCAGATAGCGCTGTCATTACGACTACCCTCCCCTCTCCAATTTCTTCACCTAGTACAGCCCAGTTCAGTATACTGCCTACCATGCCCCTAAGTCTTGTTCCCTTTTTCCACCCCTTCAACCAGCTCCCCCCCCCGCACCCGAAAACCGTCGAGCGGGTGGGGTCGGTCGAGTGGTCGTGTGGTAGTTCTGTGGCCGGCAATAGGAGAGATAGACGGCAAACATGAAACGGGAAAAACCCAGGAAAGTCACCAACGAAAAATTTTTCTCGAAGGCGAATACGACCTCCCTCCCTCCCAGCGACCTTTTACGTCCCTCTGATGGAATTTTCTCGAAAATACTGTAGCCTGCATGGGCAACGGCAAGGACCTTATGAGCCTGGGCAGTAAGGTTGCGGACTGCTTCCTGAACAACTACGATCCGCGAACACCGCACATCCTGAGCAGTTGTGGATCTTATATACCGGAGGAGGAGATCGGACCCGTCCTTATCGCAAAATATGCCCTCGAATGGTGAAAATGACGCAGTTGTGCAAGCATAAAATTGCAGAATTTTAGGTTATTCATGATTTTGGAGCTCACTCAGTAGAATTAACGATTCCCTTTCTACCTGACCAGA